TGCGTCCCTACACTCCTCTCAATCCTCTGAAGATATCCTGTCAAACTTTCCATCGTCTTTATATTGTGGAGAGCTATTGTTTCTGCCATGTTATGGTTATATTGCCTGGCAATGTATAGGACAATCTCCTCTTCTCGCATAGCCGGTTCTAAATATTGTGCTGTCTGGAATAACTGCATTGCGTACAGATTGTAGTTGGTACTTTTTTCATAATTGAATTTCCCAAAATACAACCGCTCCCTGAAACTAGCCTGTTGGTTTTCTCCCCAAAAATAGTTAATAAACTTGGCCTCAAATTCCTGCACATTATTTATGGAATTTTCATTATTGCAAAACCATAATAATGGCATGCCCACTAACATGTTTCGAATATTCAATTTCATTTCTATTGGATCCCTTACATTCTTTACCTTATTTTTGATGATATCTACAAATATTCTAGGATGTAAGTGATTCAGGTTTCCATCAAACTTTATTCCCCCATCATAATAACTCGGCACCACAGTACTCACTACTCTTGTTTGTCCTAGATTTGATTCCAAACGCTGAATCTCCTCACTTGCATTTTTAAATTTCTCTCTCAATTCCTCAACTTGTCCCTGTAATACTCTATCTCCCTTTTCCGCCTGATTTGCATGCATACCCATTTCCAGTTCCAAATTCTGCAATCCCTTCTTTATATTATTTTTTATAATGGTAATTTTTTCCTCATAATCCTGAGTTTGCCTTTTAACACTTTCTACCTCCCTAACAATCTCTTTATTCTGCTTATTAACTTCTTTGTTTATTTCCATTGGTAAATTCTCTTTAATGGCTGTTCCCAACTCTACAAATCTGCTCCCAATTTCCTGTCCTATTTCCGCTCTAATTATGGCCTTTTCTCTGGATATCTCCTCCTGTACATTCCTCTTAAAATTCTCACTTTCTCCTCTGACCTGTTCTACTTTCTCTTCTAAACCTTGGGTAATTTGTAGCATCTCTTCCCTGACTATCTTCACTTCTTCTTTGATTTCTTCCCTCATTTTAATTAACTCTTCCCTAAGTTCTCCTTTAATATTATTTTCCATTTTGTTCATATCCCCCCTAATATTGTTAATATTACTATCCATTTTGTGCATATCTCCCCTAATATTATGATCCATCTGTTGTAACATCCGCATTATTTGCCTCATATCCATCTGTGTCATCCTGACTCTCCAACATCTCCTTCCCTACGTCTCTCCTCCTGCACTCTACATTCATCCACACTTTCATCACGTCTATCTCTCACTGTCTCATCCAACTCCTCTCTCAAACTATCTGTTAGACTTCCCTCTCTATCACCTTGTCCTGCTTCTTGTCTGCCTTGCTCTAAATATTGTACTACAAATTCTCCTGATCCTCCTCTGCTTTCTTCATCTACCTGTATACCCTGTTCCTGTTCTAACACCTGTTCTCCTTCACTCTCTTTCGGTACGATTTCTTTTCCATTTCTTAAAGTCATTCGGTCTGCCATTTTATCCTAATCTCTATTTATTCTCAAATTTAACTTTAACTACCCCAGAATCTCTACAACTCTAATCACACCAATTTGTTTTTATTTTAATCTGTGTATTATTAATAAATCTGCTTAAAAAAAAACACCCTTATTTCTGTTTTCCCAGAGGCTCCACGTTGTTAGCGCCAATTGTAATAGTTTTGTTTTTATTATTTTTATGTTTTATTGTTAATAAATATAATTTTAATTGAATTGAAGTGAATTTTAAAAGTATGTAGTTCGTTGTTAATATACTATACCTCGGCTAGCTCAATTATTTGTTCTAAGCAATCTGTCACTGTGTGACGTCAACTCTGTAGTCTCCTGGTAGAGTTCAAAAAGAAATTAAACCAAAATTTACTTTATATTTTTGATAAATTAACCCAAATGAAGCACGTTATTTATTAATATTGAACAAATTTAATATAAACAATAAAATTCGTCTGCAACTTGGGTTGCCTTTAAAAATTTACAAAAATAGGAATCGTGTAAACCTTAATGTGTCGTGAAAATAGAATTTGATTACAAAATGTGGAAACTCTCTACAATTACCTTAAATCTAAATGACTATTGCAACTTTATAAAGTGTTTAAAATGAAATATAAAGAAAAGAAAACTGAACACTTTATTCTGCTGACTTATAACTAACATTAAAATATAATCAAAATTTCAAATGATCCCCAAAATTATTATCCAAACTCACTTTCAAACAGTTCTGATTTTTTTTTTTTTTTTTTAAAGAAAACTAACTACTCGCAAAATAATCGGTGAAACTGGAATATCTATCCTCTCTTCGGAAGTTAAAGGTACGTACTATATATTTTTTATTTTAATGATCATTAATATTTCAATTTTTAAGGCCTATCGCAATTAGTTAATTCATGAATTTTTACTTTTTCAATCTAAATGACATTTCTGCACTCCAATTATAATTTATAAGTCAAAATTTCTCTTACTCTCTGGAACAAATTCTGGATATCTCTATTTGAAAATGTGGAAAAACTAAATTTATAATTAAACGATTTTAAAGCACTCCCGGACTATTCCACCTTTTTAGGGCTCTTCCTCCAAAATTTTCGTCGCCTCCAACAACCTATTCTTCCTTGTTCACCGCCATAGCTAGCACCCGCCTCCAAAATTATTCGTTGCTAACAGCAACCCACTTTCTTTTTTCATCCCGTCTTCTATTTTATTCAACCATAAAACTGTCCTGTTTTGACATATTTGTCAAACCACATTAATTTCTCATAAGCACTTTAATCACATCTAATTTGGGAATTTAAAAAAAAAATTCAGATATAAAACTTAACAATACTAATATAATTTATTCTTTTCATCTCCACATCATTGTAATTTATTTAACAAAACCCCTATTAATTTAGTTCCCACAGACTTTTGACAGTTTATTTTTCTGACGTTTATTTTTAAAATTTCTATGTTTAAATAATTTTTTAAGAATTCTTCTTTTTTTATTCCTTTTAAGGTTTAGACGATTCACCTATACACTAGGCAACTATACTATTCAGAAATTATTAACACTATACCAGGTAAGTCAAAATTAATTTATTTAGCAATTTACTAATCTTTTCTCCCTTTTATTTCAGAGTCGACCCCACATTGTGATGGCTTCATGAAATTCATGAACAACAAACTCATATAAAAATCCCTTTAAGTTATATCCTCTTTGACATATTGAAATCATTTCAATAATATATATATATATATATATATATATATATATATACTTTGGAGGGTAACTTTCGGGAAAGCGTCAAAACAAGGATCAGCTAGAGATGGTATAAGCCAGCTTGGTGTAGAACTTTATTCTATATGTGAAATTTTCGGTGATATGTTGTCACCTTCATCAGCACCTAAATGGAAAACCTATTATAGTACAGTGGTGGAAATCAACATTTAAAAACCTACATTGAAAATGTTCAGTTGGTCCTAGTTGTAAAAAACACTGTCACAAACATGTTAAAAATATTAAAAAATACATTTAAAATTTTGAATAAAAACATTACAAACAACAGGTAGTTTTTCAAATACAAACACAACAAAAAATCTAAAATTTACAACCTACAAAAACTACAAATAGAAAAGAAGAATTAATCTTCTTTTTTGATGACATATTTCTGTCAACAATCCGAGTGTCATATGTAACGAGGTTATAATTTTCACTTTTGCACATCACAACATTAACCTCGAAAATTATAACCTTGTTACATATGACACTCGGATGTTGACAGAAATATGTCATCAAAAAAGAAGATTAATTCTTCTTTTCTATTTGTAGTTTTTGTAGGTTGTAAATTTTAGATTTTTTGTTGTGTTTGTATTTGAAAAACTACCCTGTTGTTTGTAATGTTTTTATTCAAAATTTTTAAATGTATTTTTTAATATTTTTAACATGTTTGTGACAGTGTTTTTTTACAACTAGGACCAACTGAACATTTTCAATGTAGGTTTTTAAATGTTGATTTCCACCACTGTACTATAATAGGTTTTCCATTTAGGTGCTGATGAAGGTGACAACATATCAGTAGATAGGCTATGTACTTCCTGGACCAACCCCTAAATTGCAACCCCTAAAATCGCAACCCCCGGTCGTAAGTTCCAAACGGCTTAACGTAGGATGACGTACGAGGGCTCGTTGGAAAGGGGATGAAAAATGGAGTTGAACGCAGTATGTGCCGTGCGCATCGGAGCATGCCGAAAGGGCATTATGGGGTATCTTCGTTTCTATTGGTCCGATCGTGACGTACGAGGGCTCGTTGGAACGGGGAGAAGGTGGGGAGACAAAAAACAAAGATGGTGGCGTTGCCAAATGGGCGTTAAAACGTATCTTCGTTGCTATTGGTTGGATTTTGACGTATGAGGTGTCAAAGCGTTGGATGTCACGTGACATTCGACGCAGGACGTGACATTTGTCACAGAACGTGACATTCGACGCAGGACGTGAAATGTCACGTGAAATGATGTGACATTCGACGTAGGACGTGACATTTGACGCAGGACGTGACATTTATGTGACATTTGACATAGAACGTACAATGACACGTGAATTGACGTGACATTCGACGCAGGACGTGACATTTATGTGACATTCGACGCAGGACATGACATTTATGTGACATTTGACGCAGAACGTGAAATGACGTGACATTTTTCACAGAACGTGACATTCGACGCAGGACGTGAAATGTCACGTGAATTGACGTGTCATTCGACGTAGGACGTGACATTTGACGCAGAACGTGAAATGTCACGTGAAATGATGTGTCATTCGACGCAAGACATCGGTCAACATACATATAGAGTAATGGAATTTAAATAAAACAACAACATCATAAACGGAGCATTTTTTATTCGTATATATTTACAATTTTGTTTAACAAAGTTTTTAATTGTTTTAATAGCCCGTCGTTGGGGCAGGGTATCCCAAAAAGTTCCCAGCTAAACGTTCCTGCTGCTACAACTTTACGTGTGTATTCGCTGTACTTATAATAGGTGTTGTTCTGAAAAAAGTAAATAAACCCATCAGTATAGCGGAATGCTGATGTTATTGTATCTGGTAGTCCTGGTAAGAGATAATTCATGGGTCCACGGTTTAAGACATCTCCAGCTTCATTAAATTCAATATAAGAATCATCATTGTATAATAAATACGTTTGACCGCTGTTTGTTTGAAATAATGCATTTATTTTGGTTCTCGCAGGTATAGAAGGAAACATAAAACGTTTTTGAATTTTTAAATTGGGGAAAGATGCAGCGTAATACTGATTATTGCGTATGGTTACTAAGTGTCCCTCGGAATTCTGAAAAACATGTGAAACGTGCGCAGACCTCAACTCTTTAGGGAGATAATCGGTAATTAATTCGGGATGTTTTGGAAGGCGCATCTCATTTAAATCAAATTTCCATATATATGGACCATATCCAACGTACATTCTATAATTTGGAAACTGAGGAGACGTAGCTAAAAACATGAAATCTGGATATGGAATTAGACATAATATGTTTTGTAGGGCAGGTGTGGTTGTTGTTGTTGGCAAAGAGGTCCTGTGTTTGATGGTAGATGTTTTCGACATATGGTTCTTGTTGTGCGGAACTGGTGTTGTTGGTGGTATGTAAGAGGGTGTTGTTTTTGGCCCATATAGAATACTCATTGCCTTTTTATCATCATCACCAAAAAGGTTGTACATCTTGTTGATACCAAGGATACATAATAGACGAATCAATAGTACTGTGTGCTAGTCCGAGAGAATGACCAATTTCATGCATTAGAACAGCCAAAAAATTGACTTCACCATTGGGAGCGCTGCCATTTCCTACATACCATCGTTCACTAACATCAAGATGAATTTCGGTACACTCTGCGTGTGCGCTTGGAAAGTATGCGTGAGCCAATACTTTTCCAGGACCATCGAAATTAAATGAACATTTAGAGGTTCCTTGACAACTTGCTCGAAAATTATGAGTATTTGGTACCACAGTTATAGTAATATCAGGCCTCGGGGAAGGTATTATTACTTGTTTAAACTTTAAATTAGATATTGTCTCCCATCTAGCGAAAGCTTCTGCAGCAAGGTTTATATAATCAGGATTACTAATAGCCTGAGGGAAATACCAGCGTAAAGTCGTTTTATTCCACTTCGAACGAATCTCATAGTTATTGTCGCCAACAGAACATCGAGGCTTATTCATCATCATATTTATAGTATCATTATTTAATGTTCCAGTCACAGGAAGATTGTATTTTTCCTGAAAAGCAACTAGGGCCATATCTATACTAGAAAGAGCATTATTTGATGTATTTAGATATCCGAAACGTTTAAGAAAAGAACTAGCATACGCCAGAGTGCTATTCTCTGCACACACAGATACAGAGAGCAACAATAAGACATGTAAACAGACCAGCATCTTGATTTATACTAATATCCAAAAATTTGTACTATAGTTATTTATACAAAATTCACAAAAACGGAATTATATACTGAAATATTAAGACAGAAATATTTTAAATAATAATATGTTAAAATTGTGCATTTGATAGCAAACCGGATGAAGCCTCATGATAACAATACACCGCGTTGTTCAAAACACGTAAACAAGTGTGATAACAAATTTTATTTTAATCATTGGAAAAACAAGTACACCGGAAAGAAAACCGCAGTTGCTACATTTTGTAAAATGTATGAAGATATCAGCAACCACATCAACAAAATTCTAAATTGATAACAACGATTCTCTTACCGCAATATCAATTTATTATATTACCATAAATATTAGTTGAAGAAATAAAAATAAATATAAAAATATTAGCATTTCTAGAACAGCACACGTTGCTTATCTATGAAACGAATCAGTTGATGGTACCGTATGCACATTAGGTTGACGCAACTCGGGCTCGGGTGGGGCGATATGCTATTTCGCAGTAGTCAATACGGTGTGCAGTGACTTACATATATCTGATAAAGGTAAGCGGTTTTTGTCTTTTGTATATTTCTATGTATTTATTATGTCCTTTTTATCATTGTATTTTATGAGAATTGTACATCTCTCTGGTTGTATTTCATGCAGTATTTTATGAAAAATGTATACTGTTTTTTGTATTTATTATGTCCTTTTTATCTATGTGGGTGTTGTAAAACATTTCACGTCTGCTATTTTTTATAAGAAGTATTCTCCGCTGTTCGTATTTCGATTTCTTGTAGTATATGGTTCTTCTCTATTCCCAAGTATGTAATGCATCTCTCCATTCACGTTAAGCGGAAAAACTATAGTTTTTTGTTATTATTGTAGATGGATCTATCAAAACTAAATAATGCATCCTTGGTTGCAGAACGTAAGCCAATAAAAAAACTTAAAGAGCTACAAATTGGAAAAAAAATTTACCATCCACAGTGCAAAGGTGGTAACAACACCAATTTGGGGAGACAGTTCTGCTGGATTTGGGTGCTGAAGTTTCTTCTTACCACAGCGGGTAACCAAAGCCTACCAAGCAGCAATAACGGACCTCAACAGGGAAACTATTCGCTGATATACGAAGGGGAAGTTGATATTGGAAAAAGCAGACTCCTTGCATCCTTTAAGATAGTTGAATAAGGTAAGTGATTTTTTCTTATTGTTTGTTTGTGAGTAACCATGCATATAAACAAGTGATTAAACAGTCTGATGATTTGATGCACATTATTAAAAAGCTTAGTAAAATAATTTTCGATAAATTCACTGAAAGAGATCGTAAAGTTTGGACAAGACGGTTAAATAGTCACATTTTTAGATGTAGTAAAGTAATTAAAAACAATAAACTATCCGTAGGAACAGTTAGAAAATTGCAAACTTACATAGGACATTTTAAGCATTTTAGGCAAATTATTTTAAATTTCAATAATAAGTACGTTGGGTTGGGGCTTAATTCAAAATTACGCAATAGAGTTAAATGGGAAAATGTCATTTCATGTTTTGCTAGTCGAATTAAAACTGGAGTTATAGTTAATTTAGTGCATAAGGACTTAACACAGTTCCTAAATGATTGTTATATTATTTTTAGTAGAAAAATTAACAGTAATTTAAAACAAATAGATTGCTTAAAGTCAATACTACATTTTGCGGTGAATTCATTAAAAAATCGAGTGATAGCGAAAGTTTAGATTTAAAATATTTTAACACTAAAAATGCTATTATAGACGCATCGACCGATTTACATCTTTGGTTCAGTGAAAATGTTAAGGATAAAATTTTTACAAAGCTGTCGGAGTTTGCAGAAAAAGATTCTGGGTGCTGCTCTGTCTAAAGTAATCTCATTAGAAGTCAATATTAATAAAGTAGAAATAGGAAACGGTTCATCGTTCATTGACTTGCCAAAAGAGATTAGCAATAAAAAGCTTGTATTAATGTGCATAACTTCGATCAGGCTTGTTTTTATTGGTCAATTGTTAGCGCTCTGTATCCAGCAAAAGATCATCCACAACGAGTTTCAAAATATCCACATTATTCTACTGTTTTACAAACTGACAAATTAGAAAGCCCAATGCCATTAAGCCAAATTTCCAAATTTGAAAAATTAAACGCCATATCAGTCAATGTTTTTGCATTAGAATTAAACGTAGTTAAGGACAAACAATTTTATGAAGTAGTACCTGCCAGACTGACACCGCAAAAGATGGAAAAGCATGTAAATTTGCTCCTATTACAAGATAAATATTTCCCAAAGTTAAACGATTACGATGCTCCTCCAGAAGATGATGATCAGACTGAAATACGCCTTCATTATTGTTGGATTAAGGTTAGGAAAATTAGTAAAATCGCAATTAAACAAAAACAATCGTAAAAAATATATATGTGATAGATGTTTAAACTATTTTAGCAGTGAAAGCAAACTAGCAGAGCACGAAGAAATGTGTTCAGATGTGAATAAATGCAAGATGACTGTTCCCAAATATGATCATGTGGCTTTTCGCAATTTTACATACAAACAAACAACTCCGTTTATAGTTTATGCCGATTTTGAATGCCAATTACATAATTTTACAGATTCAAATGTCTCAGTGAGTAAAACAGCAAAATATCAGAAACATGTACCTTTTAGTGCAGGTTATTATTTGAAATGTGCTTACGATGATAGTTTATTTATTTATATATTAGAGGTGAAAATTGCATGGAGTGGTTGCAAAAGAAATGACCGAAAGAAATGACCGAAATTCCAAATTTGTAAATTCCAAAATAAAGACAATTGTACCTATGGTCGAAAAACCCAACACAAATGGAGCAACTGTTTGCCATATTTGTGAGAAACGCTTTTTGGCTACAGATACAGTTGTTGTAGATCACGATCATTTTACGGGACAAGTACGGGGATTTGCGCACCAAGCATGTAATTTGAACTTTAAAAAATTGTTTGTCGTCCCAATCGTATTTCATAATTTTAGTGGCTACGATTCGCATTTTATGATTATAGATCTTTGCAAGCATGGGCACTTGAGCTTACTTCCCATTAATAAAGAAAAATACATTTCATTTACATTACAATCTGACGAACATCAAATTAAATTACGATTTATTGATTCTCTAAGATTTATGGGAGCTTCACTCGATGAATTGGCATCTCTTTTAGATACATCTGAAAGAAGATTTTGAAAAGAGAATTTAGTCAATTAGATAATGATACATTTAATTTGTTAACTTGTAAAGGAGTATTTTGTTATGATTATATTGATAGTTTGGAAAAATTGGATGAAACTTCTTTACCCACAATTAACCATTTTTATAGTAAGTTAAATAATGAATACATTAGTGAAGCGAAGTATGCTCATGCCCAAAATGTTTGGAAGAAATTTAATTGTAAAAATTTGGGGAGAATACAGCGATTTGTATTTGAAAACAGATATTCTGCTGCTGGCTGATGTGTTTGAACAGTTCCGACAAAAATGTCGAGACACATATAAATTAGATCCAGCATGGTATTATACCATGCCAGGATACACGTGGGATTGTATGTTGAGATACACACAATGTAAATTAGAATTGCTAAAAGATGTGGATATGATCTTGTTTATGGAAAAAGCCATCAGAGGTGGAATATCTGTTTGTAGCAACAGATATTCTGAGGCCAACAACAAATACATTTCGTCGTATGATCCCACACGGCCCTCTAAGTACATCCTCTATTTAGATGTGAACAATCTGTATGGCTGGGCAATGTTACAATTGCTTCCATATGGAGGGTTCAAGTGGATTGAAGATGTTACCAAATTTGGTGTTGGTAATCTTCCCGAAGGCCATATAGATATTATGTCAATACAGGATGATGCAAAGGAGGGCTATTTTTTCCAAGTTGACTTGGAGTATCCACGCGAATTACACGACAAACATAAAGATTTTCCATTTGCTGCCGAACACCGCATTCCGCCCGGTTCAAAATTGCCAAAGTTAATACCAACCTTATATCACAAAACCAAATATATTATGCATTATAGAACTCTTAAACAGGCATTGGCTAACGGGTTAATTTTAACAAAGATACATAAAGTTTTGAAATTTAATCAATCTGCGTGGCTGCGACCGTATATCGAATTAAATACAAATTTACGGGCGGCAGCCACCAACAGTTTTGAGAAAAATCTCTACAAGCTAATGAACAATGCGGTGTTCGGAAAAACTTTACAGAACCAAAGACGTCATCGTATTGTAAAATTATGTAAAA